GGGTGGTGGGGGAGTGTAGCGCATCCATAAATATCTATATATCTCTATTAATTGATAGATCAGCTACATCCTACATTATTCAATCAATTTGCCAATTGGCTAGCATCCCTATATGCATGGGAGTAATCTATTTGGATGTTTGCTTCTGGAATCTCCCTGCAATTCTCTATTAGAATCAATATAAAAAATGATGGGTTGATTCTTCATCGGAGGTTGTCTATGATTATTTTCGAGTCTCCTTCAATCCATCCTTTATTTTGATGCAAAGGATTTTGTATTTGGCTTGACCACTTGAATGTCAATTTAGCAGTAAACCATAAAGCTACATTTTGTTTTTGTATCTTTGTATATTCTTAATGAATTGTTTTAGTTACTCACCTGAAAAAAAACAACTACCAATGTTACTTCTCTATAAGTATGGTGCCTTGTACAGGATCAAAGGTATGACCACCATGCCTTTGACACTAATACCACCACACTTACCATTTCAAAAAAGAAAGAATAAAAGAAAATAGTAATGTTAACATTTATTATAAAATTTTATCTTCTTTCTCTAATTGCACTATTTATTTTCTTTAGTGGCTATGGCTCTAGTGACCTAAAGGGTGCTTTTCTAATAATTCTAGCAGTGTCTAATAAGTGATGAAATATATCGTGCGGTATTTTCATATTGATTCCACACCTCCCCTATTCCTCTTAGGCCTCATTTTCATGTTTCTGGTTATCTCAACTTCTTTAACTTGTGGTATTTCCATGTTTCTGGTATTTTTATTAGGGGCAACTTGGGTTGGTCCAAGTTAGCATTTTACACTGCTTCAGGCTCGGGCCTTTGGACTGGGCCCATCCAAATTTTAACAAAAGGCCAACCCAAGCCTGCCCAAGTTGCATCCCTAATTTTTATGTTTTTTGGGAACCATTCAGTTCAGAGTGTGTCATCTCATCTACTTTGAATATGGATTATGTAATTTCATGTTTTCTTAGACTGGATGATTTTACTCCATTCCAACATAGTGCTTAAATACCTAGGCGATTAGGCACCCTTGGCTGGGTGCCTCACCCAAACACCTTGACTTGTAGCAACTAGCTGCCTGTCTAGGCAACTAGGACCTGCCTAGGCAACAAAAACGCTAAGGCGGGCACCTTATTTTATTATCATTTATATTCCTGTGTCTTATTAATATGTGTGTGATACATTCTATTATATACTACATATCATTGAAAAGATTAAAGGGTTTTGAGGAGAGAAAAAGAAAGAAAGAAAGAATAGAAGTATAGAGAGTTTTTTTTCCTATTCTCTCCCTCTCTCTCTCTCCAATTAAATAAAATTGCAAATGCATCCTTTTTTTCTATAATTCTATTTTACTTTCCATCTTGAATTTTTATCATATAAAGTTAATAACCTTATTTAGTTGCTAATTGATATGACATTGCTCTATTAAATACTTATTATAGTAGCATTATTTTTGAAAATAATGAAATTAACATATTTAAAAGATTTTTATCTTTAAATATGATGATTGCTATTTTTTTTTTCAATTAATATGCATGCCGAATGGTATATAAATCCAGGGAACTAGCCAAAAGTTAGTTCTTTATATTATAAAATTCTTATTGCCTAGGTGCCCACCTAGGCGACCAGGCAACTAGGTTCCCCAGTGTCACCTAGAATCACCTAGATGCCTTGACAGCTATGTTAGGTAATTCAGTGTATCTTACCAAAAAGGTAATTTGATGTAAAGAAAAGGTTTCTGTTTCTATTCAGGTATGAAGCAAAAGATGTGCAAAGTGAGGCAGGCAACAGTGATTTATGTGATCGAGACTTGAGTGTTCTTCAAAATCAAAGGGTTAGGGGATTCAGATTGGTGTATTTGATTTCAATAACTTTCTTCATGATGATGGTTTTCATTAGATAGCTTTGAATACCTATTTGAACAGAAAGAAATGAAAGAAAGGTAAAGGCTTAAAATTGCTTGTACCAAATTAAAGGGGGTAAGCTGCAACTAGTGTGGTCAGGTGAAATCAAGTTGCTAGTGAAATGAAAATCGCCAAACTACGATTTAGAGTAGATTTGGGGTTGGATATGCTTTACTTTTCTACCACTGATTACACAGTGATATTATTTTTTTGAGAGTGGGCCTTGGCAGAATGGTTGGGTTGCTCCATTGTGACCTGGGTGACCAGGGTTCAAATCTTGGAAACAGCCTATGCAGAGGTAAGGCTGCATACATCTATCCTTCCCCAGACCCCACATTGGTGGGAGCTTCATGCACTGGGCTGTCCCTTTTTTGGACAAGGAACATTAAAGATATTTTAAATTCTCAATGCTGAAGTCAGGGGAAATCAGGTGGTGTTGTGTTCCATATTTTGGAGACTTTTGTTGGATAGAGAGATTGAGGAACGCATTATTTTACTTGGTAAGCTGGAGCTTGAATAGATTTTACAAGAGAGAATGCTATAGGATGGTGAAAGGAGTGCAGAAATGGGATGTTCACTGTTTGATCAAATTATAAGGTGTTGATTTGTAACCAAGTGGAGTGATATGATCTTAGGGCTGTTTGGGGCAACCCTATTCCCACTAAAGTGAAGCCTTTGCTAGGTTAGTTGCATGTGAAAGATGGTGAGAGTGCAGCTCTTCCCTGTAAGACATCTGAGATCAGTGGTCCAACCTGCAAGAGAAAATAGAAGAGAGGATCCAAGCCACACAGTCCACTAGTGCACTGTGCAGAAGGGAGCTTTCTAATCCGAATTGGGCTGAATTAACTGGAGGCTACTTGCCCTTCGTGGGTCTGTTTTCTCACACGTTTTCCAGCATTCTGAGATGACATATAGAGGTCTAACCCAACATTTCTTTCCCTATTTTTGAGGTGAGGAACGTAACTGATTTGCATGTTGGGAGCAAGACATTCAATAGACCAATTCAAGCCCCTCCAGATTGAGACAAGTGTCTCACTGACCAAGGATCTCATCACTTGATCATCCAGCCTACACCAAGCGAAATTGGCTTTCCATTGACCTACTAAGAGCACAATCCAATAATAGTAGTTTCTCTGTGCTTGTGAAAAATATTTTCCAGGAAACAAACAACCAAATAATTTTTTTTTTATTGAACTAGATTGTGTGTGAAAGTGTGGCATAGAAATAACCAATTTTCTATCAACATGTGGTTTATCACATGGCCACTGTATTTTCCAACATGTTGAGTGTTAACAAACAAGGACCCATGGCCACTCTTCATCAACAAGGACAAACATTTTAACTGATCTTTTGAAAAAAAAAAGGATTTCATATGGCAACATTTGTTGTGTAGAGAAAATGAAGAACGTTTCAGGCACTCATTCATTCATTGCAGTGAGGTGGCTATTTTTTCTAGATTCTTCTTTAAATTATTAAAGTTGCAGATGAAGGTACCATATAATCCTGAAGAAATCATTTCTGGTTAGCCAAGCATTCCAGGAAGTAGAAAGGTGAAGATTTTCTGTAGATTGCTCTTTTTTTTTGGGGGGGGTGTATAGAAGGAAAGAAGCAGAAGAATCTTTGTAGGAGATCAAAAAGAGAGTGTTGGTCTTTAAGGAACATTCAGAGGTGTGTCAAGATGCTTTTGGATAGGCATTGGGGTCTCCTGCAAGCAAAATCTTTGCACACACTGAAAGGAGCATCCAGTTGCACATTGGGAATGGGAACATCTCCCTATGAATTTCACATTCATGTTTGGGAGATATTCCCGATGTGCATCTGGATGTGCATAAGAGTTTTTGCTTGCAGGAGATCCAGGCTTTTTGGATTTAGTCATTCTTAGGCCCTGTTTAGAATGGCTTCTGCATTTGGGGTGAGTTGTGTTAAATGAGCCACTTTGGTTGAGCACCAGTGTTCCGGAGGCCCAACTTGGAATGCCAGAAGTCACATCCCAAAAGCCCTCCCAAGTGGGCACTTGTTGAAGTAGTGGTAGTGATGCCTTTGTTGTAGCTGTTGATCTTTTAGAATCAGTATGGGAAGAATACAAATACAGATATGTACAGTGCAAATACAAGGTTTAGAAATACTGTATACAAGGCTTTGCACCATACATATTTGTATTTGCGCTCTTCCCAAACTGAGCCTCAAGTATTTCCAGTTCGCTGTATTCCTTTATTGGGTGACTTCTCATCTATACTGTCATTCCATGTAATATTTTTTATTTTTAATAATATTCTCTTTTGATTTACCATAAAAGAATATTTTCGCTGTTTATGTTGCCTCTCAATGTTCTCGCAAGCTTAAGTGAATGTAGCTTAATTATATCAACAAACTATGTGCATCTATTCTTATCATAGATCTGTCTCCTTTTTATGTTCTTTGTCATTCTTTACAACCTGTCAAATGCTTTGAAAATTTGATATGGGAAAATTCATCATAATCCAAGCCTTATCCCAACTATATGAGGTCAGCTAATTGAAAATTAAAAAATAAAAAGAACAAATGGTTTTTGATATATTCCGTTTTCCATTTCATTGAAAACTTGGGGTCTCAAGTTGTAAATCCTTTTTCTTTACTCAAACTGTAATGCATAAGCTCCTCTAGAATGGGGATTAGCAATTAGAGAAGAAGGCATCATTTGATTGGCTGCCCTTCAAAGTTGTCCTAGGGGAGGACCTGGTTCAGAGGTGTTAAACTTTGCCAGGCCCAAATACAAAATGATGCATTTGAAGAATTGACTACCATGGTTTACTGGTGAATATTTTTGGTTACTTGATAATTGTTCTGGTTGAGATTGTGTGAAATGTTTGTCTGCGCTTCATGTTGAATAATTGTTTGGCAATTATCAAATATGGGATATTCTAATTGTCAATAGTGGTTATCTAACAAAGGGTATCTTATTCTGCAATGCAGGATAGTTTCTTTGCCTGATAATCTAGACTTCATGGTCTTTAACCATCGCGGCAAGGTCTTTCCCTCCAAAATGGATTTGAAGCTGAAGCGTTGAGTCTTCTTCTAAACCTAGATAAAATCACATGTTCTGACTGCTGAGTTTTCCCTTCCCTTTTTCGGTTTTTTTTTTTTTTTTTGGGTGGGTGGGGGGTGTTTAATTTGGTGCTAAGAAAATTTTCTATTTATTGTTTGTGCTCCTCTGAGATAGGTGATGTGATGCTGCTCTGGATGTAATTTTACACTTCATTGGTTATTAGCTTTTGTTTATTTTCTTCTAGGATATTTAAGTGAGCAGCCAATTATCTGGTGTATTTCATGGTTAACTTTGTCACGAAATTAAAAGCTCAGATATTACGCGCATATGGGGTTGTTTTATTTGTAGATAAATTGTTATGCAGGGAGGGCCTTAGGCTGTGTTTGAAGTTTGAAAGAAAAGGTAGGGATCAGATAAGAGGCGTTTAGGGTTTGAGTTAGCGGTAACTGGGCCATGAGGAAAACGTTTTATCAATTATTATTATTATCATTATTATTACGGAAAAGTACGGACAAGTTTAATGCAGATTTCTGAATGACACTGCTAATCTATAAACATTTAAAATGGCAAAAATCCACATTACCCGCCCTGTGAATTGGTATCAATTTCAAGTTGGCACCTACTCCAAATGTATTTTGAGCCTAAAACTTAAATCTCCCTTCATATTTATTATAATAATAATAATTATTATTATTAGGGTAAAAAACTTAAAACTTTTCCTCATATTTATGCTAAATACTCCCATGTCCCATGAATCTGTCAAGATCCGTTTGTTTGTAACCTCAAATGCAGCTAAATATCTTCCTAAACCCAATGCAGCCCCTTTTGCTTTAGGAAACTAGAAGAAGCACTTTTTTTATAAGAAAGATTGGATTTCTGAAAGGAAAAAAAGCGTATTCTTTCTTCGTCCTATTTTTCAAATTTTTTATGATACTCATGCTAAGCTATGGGCATCGATGGGGTCAAGAAAAATTGAAAGTTGGATGCTGCAAAAATTTAAAATTAGTCCAACACCAAGGCGATAGAGAATAATGAAGTGTTCACTGAGAATAACCACTATAGAGTTGATGTGCAAAAACGTATTATGCTTTCTTTACCCAACTGTAGGCCAATGATGAGTGTTGATTTTAAAAACTTGAAACGCCACGGGGAGCTGTTGGGCCCCTGAATGAATTAAAACAAAAAATGTAAACACCAGGAAAATCAGTTGAATGATCATACCAGGAAAGATCATGGGCAGGAAGAAAGGATATAAAAACGAAAAGTTGAGAAGAATATATTGGCGAGAATGATAAGAGTGATTAAACCAGAAAAGGAATTTGTCTAAAACTCACCATGAGTTTTCAGCATTTTTCTTAAACTCACCATAACTTTTCAAAATGTCTAAAACTCACCATGTTACTAACTTGACATTAAACAAACTAACGGGTGTTAATATATTACCATTTTAATATTTAGACATGAAAAAAGGAAAAGTTCAAAAAAATTAAAAACATAGAAATTACAAAAAATGTATAGAAAATTATAGAAATTGCAAACAAAATAAAAAATTATTTTCAAATTATAGAAACTATAGAAATTGAAAAAGAAAATCAGAAAATAAAAATTGTAGAAAAAAATACTAAAAGTTATAGAAAAAACACAGAAATTGCAAATAAATAACAAAAGATACAGGAAAATTTATAGATTGTAGAAAATAGAAAAATGTAAAAAAAACATTGAAAATAATAACAAAACACTAAAAAGCAAAAAAAAAAAAAAACAAGAAAATTGAAAACTGAAAAAGACCAATTTTCCTCTAACTCACCATTCAAGGGTAATTTGATCATGAAAACTTAACTTCACACTGGAGTTTCTCTATAAAGAAATAGAAAAATCTCTTTTTAGGAGGGACACAGTTACAGAATGAGGTTGAAGATCCATCAGAAGGGGCGTATGCAACCCGATCTGGGTCCCTTTCTACTTGAACAAACAAGCGAATGATTTGATTTCCTGTGGTTGTAATGCCCAAAAAGCTTGCAGCTGGGAATCCCATTGCATTTGGGACTTGTCATGACTTATGACTTGGCATATTATAGCAGCAATTAACTGCATCTTAGGCCACTATTTCCTATTCTCTAGCATTCAACTAATGTTTCAGTCAATCTAAGTTTTTTTTTTTTTTTTTTCTGATAAGTAATTCAATCTTGGGTGAGTTTGAGAATTCCACAGGGTTCTACACAAATGAGTTGGAGGTCTAGAAACAAGAATTAAGGGAAATGGACCCAAGAGTTGGAATTGATCTTCAAAGCAAAACCAATAGAAAAGAATATCCCAACAAAGCTAATACTTGCAAATTTTGAATTTAAAAATAGGAAGTCATTTTTCTCACACACACACACAAGGGAATTCTATTTCCTTTCCTGGATACCAATTTCTTTCACACAGACACACAGACACAAAAGGGAATTCTATTTCCTCGATACCAATTAGTCAATTACCAAGCAAATGGAAAATGTAATTCGTTCAAAACCTATTTCAGAAATTTGGTTTTCTGCCCATCCAAAGAGAGTCGGTAAATATTCACTAGATCCTGCACTTAACTAGGAAATTAGGCAACATTGGCAATTTGGAAAGAAGTAATTCATTCCTTTCATTGTTTTTGAGGCCACATGTTTAAAATCTAAAACGGATTGCTTTCATCAATGGCTATAGAAATGACCAAGCAATTCTAAGATTCCATGAGATGAAGTCATTCCATTCGTTATTATGATGAACTCCAGTAGAATCCATTTTAAACTTACAAGCTTTGCACCAACACTAACGTTAAAGGGGGTGTTCGAAAACATGGGTGGTTTTGTTTTTGAAAAAAACAATTGCCATGTCAGCAAAATTGACCCATTGCGTGTGGTTTCCAAACAATCAAATTCACCCATTTAATAAACACAAATCAAATCCATAAATATTCCCATTAATCATCACAAAATGGAGACTACAGGACTAACACTCGTAGGTGGAGTCCAATGGAGGATTTAAAAATCAATGGAGGATTTAAAAATCCATAATAGATGGTATTATAATGGTGATAATTAATGGATTTAATTTGAAATTTGAATTCTAACAAGACCATAGTCCATGTGCAATTAAGCATTAACGGTCAAGACTCAAAATTCCTTTGGGAACCTCCCAAATTTGACCCTATCTAATATTATTCGCCTTTTCAAGCTGAAGCAATACTGCTGGAGATTTGTGATGCAGCGCAATCTGAACTCTTCCTGTTGGAGCACAATTAGGATGTAGGGTTAATGAGGTGGTCTGGCCGAATTGCAAAATAAGAACGTCAGAGTGTTTGGGGTACTTTACTCGATGTGGACATTTCAATGCTTTAGTTAGTGGTGTAGAGTCTTAGAGAGAGGTGAGAGTTAGTAGAGAGTTTAGAGAGCTTAATCGTGCTACCTTGTGAGGCTAAAGGTGAGGTCCTTATATAGGCAAACTGCCGTGGGCCTCATAATAGATGCCAGAGATCATCAGCCCGTCTAGACCAGAGTTGGTTTCGCATCTGAAGATGGATTCTGAGAAAGCTGATAAAGCTTCTGTCCGATTCAAGCAATGAAAAGATAAAATCCATTGACGTATATTGAGATCTTGAAAATATCAGACAGCTGACTTGCTTCTAGAAAAGGAGATTACGTACGTAGCCCCTCGGCAGGTCGGTGGACTGGTATCGCTGAGGTGTCACCGTGTTACTTCGTCGCTCCACGTGTCATCATATTATTTGATGAGCCGAAATTGTACGTCCCTCATCACTTCGAGGTCTCACTCTCATAAAACCAGTGGTTGTTTGTCGCCGGCGCCGAGAACGGAGAAGTCATTAGCAAGTAGTCTCGTCTCGTCACTCGTGTGTTGTGAGTAAAAGTGAGCCACTCTAACTATAACCGCATAACCAGAACAGTTAATAGAACGTGTGTTCCCTAGGGGAGAAGTTGGTTGTTAATGGAAGGAATGTATCTCTATCACCATTTATTCAGAATCCGAAGCTTCTTGGTAACTCACTGCCTATACCTATAACAAAGGAAGAGCAACCTTTGGAAATTGGAGTTTCTTCCCCAAATTAATAGACCACATCTCAACGCAAGTCGCAGCTTTTCTGTCACAGACTCACAATCTAATAAAAGACCTCTCTCTCTCTCTCATGCAATTCTCTGGATGTTGAGAAGCATAAAAAATGAAACCCATTACAGTTACAGCTTTTTGTTGCATTCTGGTGTTCATGGTGCAAGAAGCTACTTCGTCGTCCATCCTAGGCCATCGGTCGTTGAAAGTATACCAGGCTCGGTTTGAAGCAACGGCAGCCGCTGGTGGATCAACAGGGGCTGTGAATGTTTCTGCTTGCACTGATCCCATCAGTTGTGTGAAGAAGGTGAGTTCAACTGAAGGTTTTTTTTTATTGTTTTCGAAATTTATGAGTTGGGTTTCATGAATGAGATGGTGTTGTTTCATCATGTTGTTTGTTAGAATGGGAGAGTATTCTATCCCATTGGATATGGTGCTGACCCAACAGGAGCGCAAGATAGCAGTGATGCCATACTGGCTGCCCTGGATGATGCTTTTCGAGTGCAAAATGGATTGGTTTTGCTTCCTGGAGTGAATGATTTGGGTGGTGTATTGATTGATTTGCAAGGTGGAAACTATAAGATCAGCAAACCCATACGCTTTCCTGCTCAGGGTGGAGGCAATGTTGTGGTAAGAGCTCTCTCTCTCTCTCTCTATTTGGCGCATTTTAGCAAATAAATGCTTTAAAAGCTTCGATCTGTAGTTGCATTCTCATTTCTCTCACAAAGGAGCATCGAATGATTCAAATAAAGACTTGGGACTCTGAAACTTTGACTATCTTACAGCTTTGCTTTCTTGTAAGCCCAGAAGATACTATTATTTTTTTTTTTTTCAGACCTTTATGCATAAACAATGAAATAAACACTTTCTTTAGCTTTTCTCCTCTTGCAATTGGTTTCTTTATTTCTCCCATGTAAGCTTTTAAAAGTTAAAAACCTGCTTTTAATAAAGAGCCCAATCACCAACACAAAAAAGTATATATTCTCATGATGAAGACAGAAAACCCGTTAAAGAAGATGGAAACTGAACTTTTGGAACGTCCTATGTGATTTCAAACAACCTTGGAGATACTCCATTGTTGTTTGAGAAATTTCAGAGCTTTCGTCTCTGATTTAGTTCTGGAGTTGGTGGTTGGTATTACCTGCTTTCTCTTTGCTTTTGATTGGAACTACTTTCTTAGATGGTTGATACATAGCATACACCCAGACCCAGGTTGAAAACCCAGGATATATATTGGACAGCCTGTCTTGTTCTGTTAAAGAGAAAGCCACCACGATCCATCATAGAAAAGAACTACTATTTCTGATTAGGGTTACTTTTCTCACATTATATATAAGAATGGTAGAGCAAGTTTTTTTTTTTTTCATTTTGTTTTTCTTTTCTTTTGAACAGAATCCAAATTAGGGACAAAATGCATTTATCTTTGAATCCTAAACAGTACTCTTGATAGAAATAGTTCTGGATTGTTTGTTGTACTGTGGGCAATCACCAAACAAAATACAGTACCACTCTTGACTGAAATAGTTCTGGGTTGACTGTACTGTGGGGTATGGGCAATTCAAATTAGTTGTGCAATGTGAGGATCATATATTACATAGATCAGGCACAGATCCATATATTAATGGAGCAGAAAGGATCCTTGTTATATGGCACCAACGATAAACAAAAATGTTGTTATGTTATATGGCCATCAGATCCCCATTAAGAGGAAAATCAGAGATATTGCAACTGTTTTTCCCCCTTCAGAGGTGAACCTAAAGATACATATTTCTTAAGGAAAAATAAAAATTTTTTTAATAATCACTGGGAATGGGAGAGGGAGACATAAAATTAAACCTTACCCCTCGGAAGTAATTGTTAATTGGATTTTTAGATCTAAGTGATAGTGAAGGATATTCTTAACAACTGTTCTTCAGGTGCAAGGAGGGACATTGCGAGCATCAGATACTTTCCCAGGTGACAAGCATCTCATAGAATTATGGTCAACCATGGCCGATCAGAAATCAGCCCAAAACAATGTAGGGATCTACTATGAAGACATCACCTTCCGAGACCTGCTCCTGGATTCAAACTATCGAGGGGGTGGAATTTATGTCGTGGATTCTGCAAGGATCCGCATCAACAATTGCTTCATCATCCACTTCACAACCGAAGGTATCCTTGTGCAGAGGGGCCATGAGACCTTCATCTCAGGCTCCTTCCTTGGGCAACACCTAACAATCGGTGGAGACAAAGGTGAGAGATGGTTTTCAGGGACAGCAATTGATCTTGCTAGCAATGACAATGCAGTCACTGACGTCGCCATCTTCTCGGCCGGAGTCGGCGTCGTCCTACGCGGTCAGGCCAACATCCTCACTGGGGTACATTGTTACAACAAGGCTACATATTTTGGTGGAATAGGAATACAAGTGAAACTGGGTGGCTTGTCACAGACTAGGATAGATAATTGCTACTTGGACTACACTGCAATAGTGATGGAAGACCCAGTTCAAGTCCATGTCAGTAATGCATTTTTCTTAGGCGATGCCAACATTGTTCTGAAGTCCATTAGAGGACAGATCTCAGGACTGAACATTGTGGACAACATGTTCTCTGGAGATCCAAACCATATGAACCCAATTGTGCAATTGGATGGGCAATTCACAGATGTTGATCAAGTTGTGATCGATCGGAACAATGTCAATGGAATGGCACTGAAGTCGACAGTGGGTAAACTAACAGTAGCTGGAAATGGGACCAAATGGGTGGCTGATTTCTCATCGTTGCTGGTGTTTCCAAATAGGATATGTAACCTACAGTACTCGTTTTACAGTCGAGGAGGATCAGTTTTCTCAGCTCATGCAGTCACAAATGTGTCCAACAATATCGTGGTTGTGGAGAGCGACAAAGCTGTTGATGGGGTGGTTTCCATGGTTGTTGATCAAGATCTAAGAAGAGGTGAGAGGAGCTTTCTGATGTAAAATATGTGTTAAATGAAATATTTGCTGGTTTTTTTGTGGGGGAAATCTGGGTTCTGTGTCTCGATTTTGTATACATGACAAATCCATACATAATAGTCAATTCATGAGCAATCAAAGTCGAAAACCATGCTCAAATTAATGAATACAACTTGCTGATCAGTCCACAATTGCTAGCAAACTCACGAAAAGTTACAGTTGGAGAGAGTCAGAGAGGCTCATTTTGTATATATGTTTTAAATCTGTAGTTCAAATTCAAACAATGGAGCCCTAACAGTTCATTGCAATAGAGCCCTAACAGTTCCAGATAGCAATTAATACTTTTGCATCAAGGCAAAATGGTCCATCAATTGTTAGTTGTTACCCCTCCAAATAGGAGGCATGGAAATCCTGTAAATGCAGGCTCTCCATGGTATGGATAGTGGGCCCCATGTACACCTTGATGTGTGAGAGAGAGAGAGTTGATGGCCTAGTGTAAGCAGACTCAAATAATGGGCTGAGAGATGGGCCGGAATTGGTTACACGATACATCATTAGAGGATTCATCAGATGATGGAGTAGCTAATGAAGAAAAAGAGCTGTTATCACAGGAAATAGAGGAAGGCCTTGTTCTTTTGGTCTGTTTTGCACCCCTGAAGTCCGAAAATCAAAATTCCTTCAGACTACTTCAGACTATTATTTTAAGACCTCTTATCACTTTAGTCGAAACGTCAGACCTAGCAATATTCTTATTTCTTTCAAAAAAAAACTGATTGATTCAGTGTCATGGTCTACCGGGCTGTCACAAACAGTTGGAAAGGCTATTTTCAGCACCGAAAGACCAAAAGTTTCATTTGAAGCTTTGAGCTTTTCAACTTTTTTTAGTCTTTCTGCATGATCATGTTTGCATCTTTTGCTCTATATAATACCAAATGGAAAAATAGACCTTTTTTGGCAATTGGGATCAGGTAGATACAACATTGTAAACATGTCAAATGAGTATTCAGAAAATTTTTTTTGACACCTGTCCCTTAAAATACCCTCAACCTACCCTTAAAAAAGATTAATACCCACTTTTGATAGTTGTCACGATATTTATCAAGAACTCATTTAAGTTCTTACTTTATTGTGCCTATTAGATCTAATCCCCTTTTTTAGTCTTTTGAGCTTCCCACAGATCAAAATGTGCACGGAAAAGACGCACCAAATACCACCTAAATAAAAACATTCTTATTTTTTGTTCCCAAAATGCCCTTCACACCTTTGTGCTGAGTGTTATAACCAACAAAGATGAATCGGAGGGATTAGAAATCAAGTTTGACATATGATCAAAGAAAAGGGTAATAGACAACCAAATATTCCAAGTACAGAAGAGTGCTAGTGTAATATGAAATAATTTCTCTCATGAAGAATGGGTAGTTTATTTATGAGAAATACTGCTGTTTCTAGTTTCTAAGGTCCAAAATGAGCACGTAGAGAAGAAGATGCCAAAAGAGAGAGTTTTGTTATATAATATAGGGAGAACTCAGAACTCTAGGTTCGGCTACATTTCTTCTTCACCCTACAAATAAAGGATAAGCCACAATAGCTTGACATTTTACACCAATCACCTGCCAACAAAATACGTTTCAACACCCTTCTAACATCATCTGATATCGCACATCTCATACATGGTGGTTTCACTTTTATAGTGAACCCTAGTTTCATAATAGGATGTGCGGTGTTAGATCAAGTCAATAAGGTGTTGGAAAGAGTTTTGTTGGTATAGGAGATCCCAACTATTTATATCATAGCTTCCTCATTGTTATGGATCTAGTCTCTTCTAGCGTCTTGTGCGGCACTTGGGCAGCAATCTGTCGCTCCACAAGTCAGTATTCCCTACTTAGAACACTTCTCCTGGCTCTTATCCAATTCATCCCTCACACTGAGGCATACACTTAGGCAACAAAGGCGCAAAGCACACAAAGAAAGAGAGACTGTTGGACAGTTTTGTATGCCCTTAGCTTCAATCAGAATGATGTACTTTATGAGTTTATTGTAAATGAATAAAAGTACATATTTGATTCATGTTCCCTTGGTATGTTTCTATGTAATACCCTTAAACTGGACACTTAATGAGACTCGT